AATTGTAAATGAAAGTTTCAAGCACAGTTTGCTTTGTTGTCATCTCCTTATTCCAAACAATATGTATGCTGCTGAAAACATCCCAAAATCATTACAGTCTCACTAAATGCATCATAGTCAGCTCTGTCAGCTGACCCCTGTGTAGGTGTCTGTTTGTCTTTGCTGCTGCATACCCTCTTGTTTATGGTTTTTATGTCTTTTCCTGTACTTGTGTGTGCTTAAGCTTGTGTGTGTGTGTGTGTGTGTGTGTGTGTGTTACAGCTGACAGGTGACTGGCTGCTCCCCTCAGTGTTAATGACATTATTAACCCTGACTACTTGTAACTGCACTAATTAGCCTGAGTGATACTGTTGCGGCCCCTGGTGTTTGTGCTGCCTTGTGATGTGGTGGATCCCTTGTGGCCTTTGTTTGGGGAGATGGCTGCCTTAACTTCCACATGTGCCTGGCTGAGGAGCATCCTCCAGAGCATACCTGTCCTCAATCAGAGAGGACTGGCCTGGAGCTCTGCCCTAAAGCCCATCTGCCCTTAAAGCTCTTGTTCTCCCCACCTGCCATACCTGATCGGTCTACAACTCTGTTCCCTTCACCTTCATCCAATCCGCCTTCAGCCATCATTACACATTATAAATATACAACCAACCTCACAACCAGGGCGGCTGTGATAGTGTGAGCAGTTGGCCTTGGTGCCTCTCTCGTCTTTGTGTTCTGTTCTGTGTTCTCTGTAGCTCCTGTTAGCAGCTGTGTAACTAGTTTAGAAGTTTCCTGTGTTTTGGTAACGCAGTTAACTTCTGGTAACAGTTGTGTAACTCGGTTAGAAGTTACTCTTGTGTTTTCTGTAATATGTGTTCTGAGGCATTCGTTTTTTTAGTCTGTTCTGTTGGTTGTGGGTGTTGCTGTTGTGTTGAAGTTTGGCTAAGTTTAGTTGTTTTGTTTTCTTTTGTTTTGCTATCTTTTGTAACTCTGTTAACTTTTGTTTGGTTACATTTCGTTGACTGATCTTAGCAACACCCACTAGCTGTTTTCTTTGTGTTATCACCGTTTTGTTTGTTAGTTTTGTCACTAAGCAGTCAATTGCTTTACCCAACCAATAACATATGTTTGTTTTTTTGCACCCAGCTGACCCTAGAGGCTGGATCGTAACAGATACACACACACACACACACACACTAATGTATTCATAGCCTTGCAGCTGTATTCAGTTCTGCTTCTGTTCCCTTTTTTTTTTTTATAGACAATCCACAAACATTGCTGTCAACAGTTTATTGCTTCTTTAGTTCAAAGTTAAACAATGAAACCAATGAAAATTGTTTGTTGGGATAATTGGTTCAACTGAAAGGAGTGATTTGTGTAAACTGTAAGCATCATGTGATCAACATTCACCTCTTTAGCCTACTGTGTGATGCAATGTAAGTAGCATGAAGGGAAATTAGGAAGCTTTATTTATATGTGTGTGGTACTTTTTATAATAGGTGTTAATTGAGTCCCTTTCCATGTCTGTGTCTCTCAGATGTTCAGCATATTAAACGGCGGGACATTATTTTGAAGAGGGAACTCGGAGAGGGAGCCTTTGGCAAGGTCTTCTTAGCCGAATGTTACAACCTGAGTCCCACCAAAGACAAGATGCTGGTAGCTGTGAAGGTAAGAAGTGTGTGTGTGTGTGTGTGTGTGTGTGTGTGTGTGTGTAGTGGCAACTGCAGAGTAGACAAGAAAGTTATGTGCATAGATTCATCCAGTTGGTGCAACAACTTTATCGCAAACTACATAGAAATAGCAGGACTTATGAAAATGTGATATTATATAACCAGTCAGGGTAGAGCAGGGATTGAACCTCTAACCGTTTAATCAGTGGACAACCCGCTGATGTCCCCAGAAATGATCCACCGTTCCACATCAATAACAAGAATCTTTTTTTTTAAAAAAAGAAAATTATTTAAAAAGAATAGAAAAATATAGAAAAGTTGTCATGTCATAAATAATAAAGGAGGTAGAAAATTGTGAAACTAAAGTGCAGTGTACATTATGCAAGAGTTGCAGTTGTGTGTATGTGTGTTGTTATGTTATGTTATGCATGTGAGCGTTGTACGTATGTTTGTGCATATACCTATATGTTAAATACATATTTTACATCGATGAAGTGTGCTGTAGCTGACGGAGTAGGTGCTAGGATTTAGATTTTAACCTGAGGTCAGAGTTCGCAGTCCTGACAGCACAAGGAATGGAGCTTTGTTTTAGTCCCAAATGTTTATGTTGATGTTGCTCATGCAGGAGCTGGCAAGAATGTAGCCACTTAAACAGTCCCTTGCTGGGGTTGTGGGGTTTATCCATGAACCTGTTGGCCCTGATCACAGAGGGGGGGGCGCTGCTTCATCTTCTCCACCTGGTTGCCCATTTATTTGGTCCATAACAACTCCTCAGAGATGTACACTCCCAGATAATTAAAACTGCACACCCACTTCACAGGTGATCCATTTATCCTCAATGTA